TTTTCTGTCACTGTTGAACGACATTGTAAACACATTTCAACAATAAGATGTTTTTTTACACGCCTATACAACCGCTGGTAACTTGGATATTACAGAAAGATAATACACACACACACACACACACATATATATATATATGTGTGTGTGTATATATATATGCATGTCTATCCACAGAGTCATATAGAAATCAAAGAGTTTAGATGTGTGTCTGTGTTTTGGGTTTTGTTTTGTTTTTTTTTAAGGATTGATAAACCTGCAACATGTAAGTGTACGCCTTTTAAGTGATTTCATTAAACATTTTTTTAAGTCAATTCTCCTTCCAAAAGCAATGGCAGTCGTCACAAGTAATCAGCGTAACAAAACCGAATCTGCTTTCGAACCAAGCGACGACAATGGAAAACAAACGTGTCAGTAATGGATTTAGTTATACTACGCGTACAGCAGCTGACTGCCATTGATGCTCTGTAAGAGAGCGTAAGAATCTCTCTCTCTCTCTTTCTCTCTCTCTCTCTCTCACACACACACACACACACACATACACCCTCCCATTCTCTTACTCTGTGTGTCTGTCTGTATGTGCCATGCCCCTTCAGTAAATGAGCGATCATTACTCTTCACAGCTTCCTTTCTTTTTCTAATTTCAGCAGTACGAGTTCACTCTGTCCAATGCCTTTGTGATCCTTTTTTTTTTAAATATCATTTCACTCCAAGATAATAAAGCCACTAGGATGCCAGGGGTTACTGAGAAAGGCCAATAGGGCAACAAAAGAAGAGGATTTAATTAGACAGAAGATTTCGATTGTCATTGCATTTTTCATCTTTTTAAAGATTCAAATGCAATGACAATCGAAATCTATAGAGTTCCACATGCGAGAAGTGCAAGAGAAGAAACTATTAACCTAGAACTTGCGGTTACAACTAGCCGTTCCACCAGTGATATTATGAGACGTACATAGCAATCTTGTACTTAAATTCGTCAAAATACCAAGAGGAAAACTCACCCGAACAATTACCATGAAAATATTTATAGAAGAAACAAAGAGAAGCCAAGTTAAGGCGATGGGAAATTAACTGAACCCGAGATGCCGGGTCAGGACTGGTAACATTGCCGACTCTTCAATAGATTTTGTCAAGAATCTATAGAGACATTACAGAAGTAATATAGAATTTTGTCATTAAGGCACATTTCTAAGAAAGAAAATATTTAATGTTATCGATTATTTCTTTGTTTATAATCTAAATTAATTAATAATGGATGAATTTATTTTATCTAATACTTTCAGATTTTTGATTTTTGATATTTTTTAATCAAATTGTGACATTATTTTGGATTTTCGGCTAACATCAAATATATTTTTGAATCAAATTGTGACATTATTTTGGATTTTCGGCTAACATCAAATATATTTTTGAATCAAATTGTGACATTATTTTTGATTTTCGGCTAATATCCAATGTATTTTTGCATCAAATTGTGACATTATTTTTGATTTTCGTTTAATATCCCATATATTTTTGCTTGAAATTGTGACATTATTTATTTTTTACAAAAACTTGACAAATATTATTAGCATGAATGTGCTGCTTATTTTCTTTATTTATTTGATATTTTATTTTCATTTTGTTTTGTTCTAATTTATTATATATATATATATATATATATATATATATATATAAAGACATTTTTATGTTTAACATTCTTTTGTAGATACAAATATTTAAGTAAATCTCTGTTTATAATAAATAATATTAAACAACATTTACCGGCCTGAATGTCTGAGAAATTTTCATAAAAAATTTTTGCCCTCCGACAGGAATCGAACTAGTATCCTATACGGAAGCGTCACATAGCTTGACGTGCCTTTAACCGTTTCGGCCACGGAGGATCGATCGGTTAGCAAGGTCGAATTTTCAACCATCCATGAATCTCTCACGTACATTCATAACTGCTCTGGCGTATCAAATGTAAACAAATGACGTCACACATTATGAAATGGACAAAGTCCGACAATTATTTTAAGACATATATAAACATAGAAATGTCTTAAAATAATTGGCGGAATTTGTCCATTTTATATATATATATATATATATATATATGTGTGTGTGTGTGTGTGTGTGTGTGTGTGTGTGTGTGTTATTTATGTTAAGCATATGAAAAGCTGAAATTATGATAATGTTTTCGATTTCTAATCATAACTTTTTGTTTAATCTTTTCTCTTAGTGTGCAAAAAAAGAAGACGAATTAAGAAGACAGGAGATGACCATAGACATCGCATTTAAATTTTTGAAAAGCAAAGTTGTGTGAAAGATACGAGACCGGTAGATGGGCGAGAGGGGAAACTTTTTTCATCACCCCAAGCAGAGGGATAATGTCACTAGGATAGAACGGGGGTGGGGAGGAGGGAGGTAACAGAGAATGAAAGAGAATCACAAGACTTTGGTGAGAAGGAGCCAGGAAATGACAATAAAAGAACAGGATTCAGCAAGACAGAAAATGGCGATTGACGTTGCATTTATATATTTGAAGATTGTAGTTGACAGGGAAGTGATAAATTGGAAGGGAGTTCCAG